CGTGGGGGGGCAGGGTCGTGAGGGGGTTGTGAGGGGGGTCGTGAGGGGGGTCGGGGTGTGAGGGTGGCGGGAATCTTCCATGTGAGGCATCGTGACGAAATCAAGCGCTCGTCAAAATAATGAAATCTGAAAATAAATGGCATTTTTCAACGACTTTTGGCAATTTTTATCGAAATTTTGTTTTTTGGCTAAACACCTTTACTGTTTGTATAAAAACACATTTCCATGTGAATTTTACTGAAAATCCTTGTTTAAAGGCACAAAATATGTAATTTTCAGTGTTCAAGGACTCTTAAGCTATTGAAGTTGCCCAACTTTGGCGGCCATTTCCTCTTTAATTTAACCACTGAAACCAGGCTACGCCACCTTCTTCACTCGCAAATATCTCGACTTCTATTCAAGCTATTGGATATTTTTTTCATTGAAAGCAAGGCAAATGAATAAGCTTTCAGGTGATATCAATATCTCCACATGCCCAAAAATTGCCGAGTGTCTGATTCCACCACGTCGTGCCACTCATGTCCTGTCGCTGGTTAGTGTTGAAAGTGCTTTACTCACTTCGGGTGTCTACTGTATTAACCCTATCCGTACACCCTGGGGTCATTTTGTACCCCTCGGGGTTGTATTCTTCACATTTTAGAATACTTCTAGTACGAAGATCTCTTTGAAACTTTCAGTATTTCTCGAAAAACTATTTTGACAGACTGCTATGCAAAGCGTACTGATCGAATTAGTGAGTAAATTTCCTCTTTGGAAAGTGGTGGCTCAGAGTTCCCCACATCGTATGGATACATGACGTACAGATAGGGTTAGATTATCGTCACAATTCGCTACCTTAGAGTTACAAAGTTTTAGCTGACATTTTTGGCCCTTTTTGAGTTACTGAGACCATGAGGTCAGAACCAAATGTTCTGTCTCATCATCATCCAGTGACAGACATCGGCGGTCATGATTTTTCCTTTCATTCCTTTGCTCGGATGCACTTAGAAAAGCTACGTTTCCCTGATCTTTCCCTGTTACCCATTTGTATAGGTTCCCTAACTATGTTGTTCTGGGCCTACCCCTGCCTCGCTTGCCCTCAATTTTGCCAGTGAGAGCTAGATGTTCAAGACCCTTATGTCTATTCAGGTGTCCCAAAAACTGCATTTGTCGTTTCCTGATTGTTTTTAACATTGAGCGCCCCATGTGGGCTTCATCAAGCACTACCTCATTTGATTTCTTTCTCTTCCACGATACTCTTAGCAGTCTCCTAAGAAACCACATTTCTGTTACCTCTATTTTATTTTCACTGTCTTTAGTGATTGTCCAGCATTCACAGCCATATAGAAGGGTTGACCAAACATAGCATTTCAGGACTTTCATTTTGGTGTTCATTGAGATGTTTCTATTTTGTTCTGTCTGCTCTATCAAAATTGTTCAATTATTCCACACCGTTATTGAGACATTCCAAGAATTGAATTGCATTCGTAAAAAAGCTTGACATGTTCTGAAGCTCAAAATCTTTGATGTCAAATTTCTCACAACTAAGTACTGAGCGGTCCTGACAATTGTAGCAATGTACACCCACCACGGCTGCCATAGGGGGCTCTTGTGGCCTAGAGGTTAAGGTGTTGGCCTCTCATTCAAAGGTCCCGGGTTCGAATCCGGGTAGCGACCAAAAAAATGTTCTTCTCTAAAATTGTCTCCTTTCACCTCCTTTCCTGTTCTCTAGCAATGTTTTGTTGTCTGCTTTCATTTCCACTTTCTGCCCCCACCCCTTCACCTCCTTTGCCCCCTCCTCTGGGCTCCTGACTCTTTCTGCAGCCTTTCTACTGCTACTCCTTGGCTCCTCCTTACTGCTGTCTTTCTGCCACACCCCTGATCTTCTGGTAGGAAAGATTTACACCTTGCCTTCTCGGACAAGGGTGAAAAATCTCGGAGGGCCCGTGTGCAAGTTGCACACGCTAAAGATCCCTTGGCGGTCTAAAATCGACAAGAGTAGGCTTCGGCCCCCACACAGACAAAATTCAAAATTTCCTGCCAACTGAAAATATAAGGTGTGTCCCGCGCACTCATATGACCTTATGCAGTTGCGAGCGCCGTAAAACACTTTAAAAAAATTAATAAATAAAAAATGGCTGCCATATTTGATTCAACTTTTTCTTTCTCATTTATCTCAGGCGTCTTCAAGTGCTGGCAACCTGGGGCTGCTGATTCCTGTGATAGCTGTGGTGAGTGGAAACTAGGTCACGGGTTAACCCTTTATCTCTGTGGGGGTAAACCCACTATGCCAGGGCCCTTCTTTGGTACGAAATCTAAAAATGACAAAAACATCACTAAATGAGTCATTAAATCAAAATAAGTAAACCTATTTTGACAGATCATCTGATGAATGAATTCCTGATAAAAGAAGACCTGTTTTCGGAAAAATAATTTGATGTCAAAGTCGTTGTAAAGGAATGTGCCTGAGCCGCTGTCAGCGACTCACCGACACAGTGGTTCCTACCACGAGCTGCTGGGAGCGGCTTGCTGTTGTTGTTGTTGTTATCGATCCAGCAATATTTGGGCTCTCGCCCTTCTGTCCAATGCCATGTAGTGATAAGTGCAGGTTTGCTGCAGTTGTTGTAATGTTCCATAGAGTGTGTTGTCAATGTTGGGTCTCGGAGGGAGAAGGGTAGCTCTGATGTCATTTAGGGCTGTACAGTGGAACAGGTGATGCTCCACAGTCTCATATGCATAGTCACACAAAGGACACATTGGGGGAAGTTCTGGTTTTATTCTGTTCAGGTGGAAGTTGAACTGTATATGTTCTGTTCGTAGGCGGAAGATCGTGGTCTGTTTCTTTCTCTGCTGGGAGCGGCTTGCCGGAGATAAAGAGTTGAGGAATGGTCTTAGGGTACCTGTGGTGAAAGGAAACTAAACCATGGGTCATGGGGTGTACTTGACAGAGAGAGAGAGAGGGAGAGAGAGAGGGAGAGAGAGAGAGAGAGAGAGAGAGAGAGAGAGAGAGAAAGAGAGAGAGGGAGAGATTATGACGTCAGTGATTTAACACTTTTAACTCTTAGGCGTCACATCTCGCCGATTGACGATGTTTACCGCCCAGTTTCTTTGGTTTCCCCCCAAAATGCCTTTGCCTTTGATGGTAAGGGTTTTTATTTTACCAGCCTTGTGATGGCAAAGTGGTAAATCCCATTGGACTATACTAGTGACAACTGCTTCGTTTCATTTAGTGATAGTTTTTGCTTGTTTTTCAGAACTATTCCCAAACCAAATTTTTTTGTAATGCCTTTGTTTCCGCCATTTGGAAGTTGGAGGCAAGCTTTCGGGGTTAATAGAGGGGGGCTACACCCCCAAAGTCAAAATTCGGCTCAAAATCATGGAATTTGAGTTGTAAGCATTTTTAGCTTCCTCAGCCTCTCCTACAACTATTTCTTCATCGCATAAGAACCCCCAAAAACCGTATTTTTACCCATACCGGGCATGTTTGTAACCGGCATTTCCTCATAAAGTCAGTATTTTATTTTTCTTTATCGGCCGTTTTCTCAAAACGCGACTTTTCTCTATACTTTTTTTAATAACTCCACCATTTTTCATCCAATCTTCATGAAATTTTCACAGAAAGAAGAGAAGATGTAATACTAAAAATTTGTCTGTTGAATTTTTGATATATGGAATAGATTTTTGTTGGTGGTGTCTGGAGTGTGGATTTTCACAGATTTTTCGCAAACTTGAATGCTACCTCAGGAAAAAATTCATTAAAAATTTTCTAATTCGTTCAGGAAAAAAACAACAGACAAATTTTTAGATCTAACGTTTGTGAACACGCATGCAAAAAAAAAAAATCAATTTCCATGAGCGATAAGTGCGGTATTCATTACATAAGACATGTAAATAAAATCCAATATGGCGGCGTATCCATGGAAACGAAACTTTTTTCTCAATTTGACTGCGGATTTTAAGACTCCTTACTTGCTTGTTATATGTGTGAAATTTGGTAACATTCAGTCCAGTAATAAGCGAGATAGCCTACAGGTGTAGCCCTCCCCCCCCCTCCCTTAATAGGCATAGTGCACAAGGTTCAGGTGACTGTCGGTAAAACTCTGGGAAATGGTGGGAAAAAACTCTGGGTTTAAAGAGTTATGTGGTGCGTACAGCGACTTTGACGTTGTCTGTTCCCGTC